TTTTTTTTTTTTTTTTTTTTTTTGGTAAATGTAGTCTTCTTCTGTCACCATGAAAAACTATCACATCTCCAAGTGTGAGTCACATTTCACTTTGCATTCTCATTTGGCACCATCACCTTTTTTTTTTCTCCTCACCATCCACCTCAAGACAAACAGCACTTGGGTGAGCCAAAATACACAAATGTTTCAGAACATCCCTAGAGCACAGACCCATTCCTAGAGGAACCAATGGTCTAATGTCGCACTCCTATAGGTATGTAATTTGGTGGCTGAATTTCTGCTGTGACTGGTCTGGTAGCAATGAATACAGCCAACAGGTAGGGTCACCAGAAGGAGGGGGAGCATGACTTACAGGTGCAGTGACTCAGACAGAAGTCCTGGCTACCCCAACTTACGGTCAGCTGGCTGCTGATGACCAAAGTGGTGTTTTCTTCTGGACAAATAACCATAATAATATCAAACCCCGTTAATCTTGCAGCAGGAAGCTTGTACAGGCAGTGCTGGTAGCACTATTCCTCCTCCTCCAATCAAGACTAAACACTCATTCCTGACTTAGGAGTGCCATGTTCACACCATTTGTGCACACCTAGTGTGTTTTGTAGGGGAATGAATGGGGATGTGTTTTCCTAGTCCAAGGTACTGAAGGCAAGTCATTTTCTTATCTTCTTTTTTTTTCCAGTATCTATCAGAAAAGAAAGTTTAAATTGCCAAACATGCATGCATAGAAATGCTGGTATATGGTCTTTCATTAGTTTTTACAGTAAAGTGGGTAGGCTGAGTGTTTGCAATTGCAGCAGTAAGAAATGAGACCTTTCCTTGAAAAAGAATGTGCCTTTTCTTTGCTTCTGAAAAACATTTCAAAGACTTTCCAACAAAAAGAAGACTATAACGGTTTAAAGGAAGTTAAGTAGTGCTGAAGAAAGGGACCTACAGTAGGAAGGTAAAGATTTTAAAGAATTACACTGTGTTCCTGTTTCAACAGCATTTGTCTATGATTTTAGATGAAACAGATCATCTCCTTTCTTTAAAAGGATTAAAAAAAAAAGGAAGAAAAAACTTTCTGTGGAATTGATATTTGCCTTTGGCCTTTACCACTGGCCTCTTTTTAAGCAGCATAGATTAATCCTTGGATGGAGAGAAAAAGCAAAGTATGAATAAGTGTAACTAAGCACCTTTATATTTTGAGCCATGGAAGCTGTTGTGAGCAGCATGAGAGAAAACGAAAGGGCAGAATGGGACCTTTGTAGTGTGATAAAATCCCTTCGCTCAGAGACCGTGTTCACAGTTGGAAGGGGATGTAACTTAAAAGACAATCTAATTAACTTGACAAAGTCTTTGTGGATGCCTGAAATTCAGTTCTGAATACACTTTTCTTTTGCGGGAGAGATCCCTCTCTGAGGGTTTTTCTTTCTTGGTGTGTTTTTTTTTTCTTTTTTGTTGTTTTTTTTTTTTGTATGTGTGTGTATATGTGTGTGTACATGCACCAGGATATATATAAAAGCCCTCCTTGTTGGTCACGTATCTGGAGCTAGCTGCCACCATGATGATTAATGCATGTTCTATTAACGGTTTTTAAGTTTTTCCTACCAGATTTTCTATTTCTAGCTGAATGTAGCTTCATGCCTATTTAGCACGAGGCCAGAGTGTATGAGCTTGCACAGCGAGACCCAGAGTGTGGGATTTTTGAGCAGCCACTTAACTGCTACAAAATAGATACATAAATATGTGGTGTTTATTTGAAAAACTGCTTATTCTGATGCACCAGCTGCAGACAGCTAGCTCCCATCTGCATTTGGGAGCGCCAAAGCCATGGCACCTCCGTGTTGCAGGAGCATCTAGCGCTATGCACGGATAGAAGAGGGTGGCCCAGGAGCTGGGGCTCTCCAGAGTTCCCTCCCGGCTGCGCCGGTGGCGGGAGGTCGGTGTCTTTCCCAGTCCCTGGCATTAAGCAGGTAGCGGTGGGGCCTCGGCCCTGGCAGCGCCGTCCCCGAGGAGAAGTAGCACGGCGGCCGGCCCTCCCCTCCCCTTTGCCCTTGCCCTATGTTTATGAGCCCATGAGCACAAAAGCCAGTTGACTGAAGACAGAAAGGCAGATAAGAGCTAACAAACCTTAGGTAAAATGTGTGTTCTAACTACTGATATATCCTAGTTTTTCCCGCCTTTCCCTGAGAAGCTGTATAATGCCATTAACCTTCTGCTTTGATCAGGAGAGAAGGGTCCCTCCTCCAGTGCCAAAGAAGCCATCGAAAGGTCAGGTGCCACTCATACGAGAACGCTCTCTGGAAAGCTCGCAGCGTCAAGAGGCCCGGAAACGGCTGATGGCTGCCAAGCGCGCTGCATCGGTCCGCCAGAACTCAGCTACCGAGAGCGCCGAAAGCATTGAGATATACATCCCCGAAGCCCAGACCAGGCTATGAAGGGATCCAACTGGGAGGACTCTCTCTGGCAAGACAAGCCTCATGTATAATCTGCCCCTCTAGGCTCCTGCTCAAGGTCACCACAAAGTATTTGTACCTCCTCCTCTCTCTCTCTCGCTCTCTCTCCCTCCTCTCCCCCTCCCCTCTCTCTGTACGCAGCTGCCCCAATGCTCCCAGTGAACTCCACTGCCGTGGCGTAGTTGTCGGTCCTCCGAGAGATGTCCTCTAACCACCCTTGCTTTCTGAAGGTTCGCCCATGTCATCACGATGCTTTGTCACATGTACTGATGCTGCCACTTTGCCTCATGTAAACGAGCACGATCCTTTTTTCTTTTCTGTTTGGAACAAATAAACGCAGCACTCAGACCTCCACACACCCGCGCACCTGTACAGTAGATGCTCCATTTAACTTACTCATGATCTTTAGTTGACCTAAAGCTAGTCTGTTACCCAGTGTACAGCAATATCAAACTGTAGGGGACTTTGGTATTTTCAGTCATGCAGGGTGATCCTTTCGGACTCTGCCGTCTTCCTCACAAAAGATGAAAGGAGCTATGGCTCGGATTCCCTTCTTTTTATTACTGTTTTTTTTTTAAAGCAGATGGCGCACTTTATTCTAAACCTCCAAATCACATTTTCACCTGAATTAAGGAGTCACACAAGGGGAGGGAGCTTGGGTGGGAGCGGGGAGGGGGGAACAAAAAGAAACCCCACAGCTCTGGCAGGTGAAAAAGTGGAAGCATATCCCACAGGTGAGATGGTGAAGGATATAAAAGATCCTGTGGAAAGATACCTGCACACTCACAGCTGCACAAACTGCCTCATTTTTATTTCATCAATCACTACTTAAACATTTCAATCAGCAGAAGATTGTAAATTCGATCTTCCAGGGAAATAATCTATTTTGAAAGGCAATAAAAGAGTAAAAAGGAAGGAGATAAGAAGCAATGACAGTTGAAGAGATAATATGAAAGAAGGATTTTCTTGTCCAAGTATTAAGAATTTTTAAAATTGTACTGTATTGTCAATTCCTCTTGTATTGTATTGTATGGATTATATTGGTTAAAAAAAAAAAAAAAAAAAAAAAAAAAAAAAAAAAAAAGTTTGGTTTTGTTGATGTCTTAATCTCGGTGGGACCATCCAATTTCATACGTCCGCGCAGCCACACACGGACACCTGTAGGTGAATTACTGTACGTGGAGCCTCTGATGCTTTTCCAGGCCAGGCTTGCTTTGCTCTATCCACAGCTGGTTATATGCTACAGGTCAGACTGCTTATCACCAAACCGTCCATATTTAGGAGTAAATTTCTAATTCAGCCTCCTCTTAATAGTATAAAGTACTCACTTGAACAAGAACAATAGACTATTTTTCACAAGTTATGGGATCAATATGAACTTAATCTTTTTCACGACAAGCCTTCCTACCCTGGCTTCTGCCATTGTTTTGCAATCACGAAAAATATGCATCCTAAGTAGCTCATTAATAGTGGGCGGAAATGGCAGATAATAGGGCTGGAGAGGAGCCTGAGAGGTCAGAAGTCCTGTGTGTCTGTCCCCTCCAGCCACCTCTGGCTGGGCCAGGGGCTTGTCCTCCAGCTCCTCTGATGAGGAATGATGCTGACCACGCTGCTACTGGAATCTCTTGTGCCAACATTAGGAAAGTTGTGTCAGGCATGTTGCTGAAAGCGAGTTGCGTGCGTGCGTGTGAGCGTGTGTGAGTGCGCACACGCGTGCCTAAATGGCATGTGCTGCTGCCAGCAGAATTAGCCTGGGCTGCTTTGGGTGACAGGGCTGCTTTGGGTGACAGGGCTGCTCTGGGTGACAGGGCTGGTGTGAGCAGAGGAGCGCTGCGCGGTCCTCAGTGCGTGTGCAGCCCTGCAGGGATGGTTTCCAGACTTCTCTGCTGCTCCCTACGTGCTTTTCACCCTGTCTGCCAGGGCAGGGGTAAGCGGGAGAGGAAGGCAGGCTGCTTTCCGCTCCCAGTGGGCACAGGCACAGGGACAGCCCCACCATGGAGGGGCACAGCTGGCAGCCCTTGCTGCTGGCTGGCTGTGCCCGTGGCTGCTCAACCTGTATGGACAGTCCAAGCAGTGAAAAACCCCACTGCACATGTGGCGTAATTCTGCAGCTTGCACTTAAAAAGCATTGAAAATCGTCATCGAAAAGTTAAGCTCTTGCTAAAACTATTCATCAAGACCATGCCAGACAGCTTCTTTTCCTATGACATCATAGCCAGGTGCTAATTTAATTTTCTTCGAGAAAATAGGAGAGGTAATAGGTTCTGGCACCAAGTATTTTCATGAGAGCATACTAAAACCACTAGAGAATTTGCTACCTCTCAAAGCCATCGATATCTGAGCTATGTCTTTATAAACAGGGCACAAATATTTACTGCTGTGGTTTACAAGATAAGGGCTAATAATTTAATATATAAAAGACTTTTAACTAGAGTAATCAGAAATCCAGTGTAACTCTAGAGTGCTTGATGTTACAGGAGCTTCAAAAGGTTTGACCCTCTAAGCGTTTGAATACCAGTGTATTTGCTAGTTTTGAAACACTGCGTTTAACTTTTAGCAGCAACAAAACATCACCGTGTTTGCAGTATGTAATAGTGCCAACTGCCACTTTTGAGCATATATAGTCATAGGAAGTATTAATTATTTGGAACTCATTTGTACTGAAGTATTCCAAGCAGTACCTAGGTGAGAGTCCACATTCACAACTGTGTCGCAGACTTAGTTTTGTGAACTTTTTATGAAAGATGAGTTAAGATTTGGTTGACAAGTGGCTACTGAAATTTATATCCAGCAAGTCCCCCCTAAAAAAAGCAGAAAAGTGAAGACTATCTAGTCTTGTACATTACAAATTATTGTATTTGTATAGCATAGAATATTTTTTGTATCTATTTTAAATGAATTTATTCTTAGCTGAATGCTTGTTAGTTCATTTGGCACTGGAGAGGTTATTATAATGTTTGCCTAGTTTTTTACAAAATATTAAAAATACAGCCAATACCAGAAAATACAAAATAAATAAAATAATTCTGCCCATAGGATGCCACTAGTTAACCACTTGACTCATTTACCAACACTAACGCTAGTATAGTTGCTCCATCATCTGTTTTAGTATAATTTGTAACTATTTGTTTTTAGTCTAAACTGCCCAGTGTATATTAAAAATGCCTATATTCTGTTTCACTTCGGGTCTAAATGATTGCTTTTTTTTTCTTGGGGGAAATTTTAGAAAAGGTTGGTTTTTGTCTCCTGCTTCAAAAGTTAAAAAAAATAAAAGAGGTATTTATTATATTTTTTGCAGATGTTTCCATAAAATTCTCATAATCTTTTTGTAAAGAAAGATGAAGAAATGGATTAAAGATTTTTAATATTTGAAAAGGTAAATAGAAATAATTTATTTGTAATATATTTCAGTTTATTTATTGGTGTTCCCTTAATGCTTTGATGTGCACTATCACTTTAATTTAAACTGTATCTTTGTGAGTTTATTGGGGGTTTTGGTTTTTTGATTTTTGTTTTGGTTTTTTTTAGGAAAATGGTCAAATGCATATTTTAAGTAGAATGTAAATCACTGGCCTACCTGCGTTCCCAAATGTGATTTTAAAAATGTTTTTGATTTGAAACAAAATACACAAATTTGAAAGCCTTTAGACAGAGGAGAGTGTTTTTATGGCTTAATGATTTGGGTTTCCATACGATTATCTATCTGGTTTGTGTGTGGACAGGAAAATGTAAATAGATGAATGTTTCCCATAATGTAAAAAGAGCAAATTAATAAAATAATTAATGCACTGCTTGTAAGAGCTGTGGGTTTTCAATGCAAATTCATTCTTCCAGAACTGCCAAGGCATTTCATTTGATGTGGTCAAGGATAAAAGCATGACAAGCAGAATGTTTCTCTTAGGCTCTCATTGCTTAAGACCGGCCCTGCAAAGTCTCATCCGAAGCATCCTGCTGAGCACCCTGGAAGTGTTCATCTGCACAGAGTTGCTCACAGGCATAAAAGTTGCCATTGATCAAGGCCTTGAGCCTTAGCAAAATCTTCAAAGGCACTTCTGCACAGAGCCCAGCCAAACCCCACTGAAGATGCCAGGACTTACACTGGGGACTTCAAAAGATGTGGCAAGAAGACCCCAGCTTGTTTGGTTTTCCCCTCGCTGGTGCCCTTTCATTTTCTGCTTATGTCCCGTGATGTCTGAATTTTTGGGGGCAAAAGAGATCCCTGGCAGGCATAGCTAACTTTCCCTTCACTGGAATCCTGCTTCCAAACAGGGTTTTTCCCACTGTGTGAAATAAAGACAGTCACCAAATCCCACAGAAACATGTCCTGGATTATGTTGTTCATGGATATACCAGTATTTAAACAAGTCCTGATTCACTTTGTAGTGCCTAGTAGTTGCATTAATAGTGTAATAATTGCCAGTGCTGCACAACGTAGTGTCTGCCCATGCCTAGACTCTCAGCACAGAAAGACCAGAAAGGTTTGTGCTGCAGATCCATGGGCACGGAAAATTCTGCTTAACACCAAGATGAAGGGTTTTTTCTTCATATGCTGGAATTTATGTGCTCATTAGTCACTGATAAATGGATGCACCAGGGCGGGGGAGGGGGGGGAAATGTTTATTAAAGAACTTTCTGAGGTGTCTGGTACCTTTTTGTAAAGAGAACAGCTCAAAGGGAGTAAAATAGCAGGTATGTTTCACACTGTTCTCCAGCAGAGTAAGGAAGTCCAAGCCATGGCTCAACCCCGCCTTTCATGCAGGTAAACTTTCTCCCTATTTATGCTCAATGTTTCCTTCCAGATCAAATCAGAAACCTTCCCCAGAAGTATATCTTCTTGTCAGTTTGTTTGCTGATGTCTGTTCTCTCCTGCAAGACATTGTTTTTGCATCACGCAATAGGCAAATAATTCACTTCAGCCATCAGTTTGGAGCATGCTCACCTATCAAATCTGATGACTTTGAGCTGACATTTTTGATAGCAATTAATGATAAAAATATTGGCTGTTCTGCTGCTACTGGTATTTGTTGTTGAGGTCATAGGTTTATACGTGATTTGGAGTGCAGAGAGCCAGTGAATTTCTCTTTTCCCACTATGCATCACATAACAGGGTCGGGTCAGGCCCACTAGCCATGGTCCTGCACTGAGCAAACTGAGACCAGCACTCACAGCTGAAAGATACTCATGCCCTCTCCCTTTATCTGATGCTATGCCAGTGACCTATAAAACATTGCTGTGCTGTCACAGCAAACTCATTCACAGCATCGCCCCTTCCCTGTGCTTTTGCATGCGGGGAGGTTTTTACAGCCCCTCTTCTGCACGGCTACTTGGTCACTGTTGTGGCAGGAGAAGGTAGCTGCTCTCACTTGATTCATCAGGATGCATTTGGGTGCCAGCTGCAGAACATGACGTGACTGGCCCTGCCAGCCAGGCTTTCCCACGCTTGGGTCCCACCGGCGGACAGCACCCTTCTCGGTAGTGCGTGAGATTACAGCCGTGCTCGATTGCTCCGTGAGTCACATGCCCCACTCGCAGGGAGACAAAGGGGCCAGCAAAGGAACAGGGCTTCCTGGTAATTGTGTTTTTCATGGTTCTCTTCACTGATCCAGTAACAACATAATCATTGAAATTAGAGACAAAAAAGCTCTGCTGGGGCATTGTGTTAACACTCTGCCAGTTCCAGATTGCGATCTACCGAGCTGTGGCAGGTAAGTCATCACCTCCCCAGCTCTGCTCCACCCAGAGGGAAAAAAACTACACACACGAAAGAAGAAGAAAAAAAAGAGCTGTATTAAAAAACTAGTTGAGCTGTGACATTGCCACCACCTATTATGGGCTACTCCTGGTGCAGAGGCCTTCATTGTAACATATTGAGTCTTCACTTAACTCTCTCCATGACAGAGTGCTGAATTTTTCCTCATTTTCAGCCAAGCAGAATGGAAACAAATTATGGATTTTGCCACCTCTATTCAAAGAGGGGGAAGGAAATACTGAGGTGCTGCAGAGCCTTTGGAGAAAGCAACCACTGCACGGCTCCTGAGCAACACCGACAGCAACACTGCCATATTTCAAAGCTGTCAAAGGTTTTGGAAGAGGGATGGGCCTTGCCTTGAGTTAAAGAAAAGCAGTAGGACAGAGTGTGACGGATGTTTCATGGGTATCAAATATCTCACCAAGGTAAGATAAGTCACTGTGTAAACAACCGTGTGCTGAGGCAAACACCTTAGGTTGGAGATGGTAACTAGGGAGCTGAGATGTTGAATAGCAAAGGGTAACCCATTCCAATGTAACCAGCCTATTCCCCCGGTGGGAATGTGCAACCTATCACTTATCCCTGGCTTCAAACTAGAGAATGATCAAAGTCATGTCCTTAAAATACTGTATCTTACTTTTTCCTGTTGAACTGACTATGGGTACTCACAGTTACAATCTGGAATGGCTTTGTGAGTGTGTGTTCAGGACTGTGATCATCCCTGATTTTTTTTGTAGCACTGAGAAGTTACTGCATGCACAAGTTGGGCTATATTACTTGTTACCTTACAGCAATTTCTTTTGTCTTTTTTTTGTTTGTTTTTTAATAAGAAGTTGTAATAATAACTCACTGTGCTCCAGTCCTTCTGTTAGTCTTCAGAAGAAAACTCCTATGAGCTGAAACAAAAAAATACTGAAACATCTTCATTTTGTAGACTGTTCTGGTAAATTCTGGCTAAGGCCTAAGGGGAAGGAAATTGAGATAACTGATGCACTTTAGCATGTGTCATCCTTCATCTCTCCAGTCAATAACTGACAACAAAAAGAGAAAAAATAATATGGGCCAGACAGCTCACAGATGATGCACTAAAACTGAGATGGCATTTGCTATGCTGTGGGACAATCACACCTGTAGCAACAGCTGAAGGGAGAAATCCCTTCCTACCTCAGAACATGTTTCAGTAAATAGTTTCTAAATATGTGACATCCCTTCCTAGTGCATCAGTGCCACCATGACCACAATTCTTCAATTTCCACAAACCTCAGAGGTAGCATCAGCCGTAGGGCAGTATCATGGAGCCAGCTGAGGGCAGGAAGATGCAAGCCTCTGGGCAACAGCAAGCCCTTCACAGGGCAGGGCATTGCTATTGGAGCTGTGGCAACTCTAGGGGAATGTGGTGTGCATTAAACACAACCCAAAAATAATCCAGGTCAGATGGCTGCTGCTGCTTCCATGAAGTAAGCTGTCATAGTGGGAAAGAAGAGTTTGAAAGGGTGACTTCTCTCTTCATCTCGCTACCTACTGTTTCAATCCAGCATAAGAACCAGGCTTGGAATTTTAGTGAAGTTACACAATTGCATTTGCAGTGTTGGGAGAGAAACCAGACTTCATCCCAGACTAATTGTCAGCTGTAAAATTTAGTGGAGGCATACATAAAGACAAACCTGTAACAACTTCAATGGAAACATGTCCATGTGTCAGTCTTCAAATGAACCCAGGTATGCTTTGCCTAAAACACACAGATTTTAAGTCATGATCCTCTGCAAGAGGATCCTATGATCTTGCTCATTGCCTTGATTCACCACATAGTAAATATTGCTGTTATTTAAAAAATGTAAAAATAAGGTGACTTATGTCAAAGAGGCTGCATGACTACATATAAGAGAAAAACATCTTTGACAAATAGCTGGTGTGTATCGATCTGAAAGACTCTATGAAGTACTCTTTTGTATTACTAACCTAATGCTTCAACTGACAAGAGGTTTCCTTTTGTTGACATCTTTCCTGGCAATAGCATCATGACAACTGGAGCCTGTCTGCAAGAATGTACACGGACCTGGGAACCCAGCCATACATTAGCAAACGGCAGTGTACTCCACGTGTTTCTCATCCTTTGCTTAACAACCTTGTGCTTGTAAAAAAAAAGCTACTTGTGTGCAGTATTGCATTCATTGTGATGATTCATGTCTATCAGCTTCTGCCAGGCAATGCTGGGATTTCAGGTAGGAAGCAGCCCACCTCCTGTATTTTCTCTTTCTGAGATAAAAATTTCCTTTAGTGGAAGGTGGGAAATAAAACCAAGAAATCAAGCCAAAACAAAGAGAACCTGTTGAAGCATGCAGAGTTTGCCATTAAAGTATAATCCAAGCAGGTTTTGTTTGTCAACAGTTGCATAAGCAAAAACAACAATTCTGAAATAATTTTTAACTGGAACTGTTTTCATATCAAGTAGCATGTGTAAGCTCAACACTAACTGTTCAAGGCCTTCCCAAGTGTCAAGTGGTGTGATTGCAGGTGCTGTCACAGCATCCCTGCCACATGTATCAGCAGTGGTTGCCACTGCCAGGAGCTGTCAGCTGCAGTGCTGGTGCCCAGGAGTCCTCCCTTGTGGCACATTCCAAGCTCATACATACAAGGGCATCGTGCTCAAGGAGCCACATGTTTTCTGCTTTACCTCACACTGACATCAAGGCAGAAATCCCACCAGAACAGGTTAAACACCAAAATTACACTCAAACACCAATAATTACACTTGCCTGGGATGGAGGTTTATCTTTGAACTCACATGGCTTTTGTTAAATGATCTTTACACCTCAGCTCTCTCTCTGCTTTTCAATAGACAACATGAAACTCTGCTCTCGCACCTGAGGAGCCAGTGTATTACATTTGCTCTGGACTTTCAGCATTGTAGCTGGGAGCAGAAGCTGGATTTGTTTTTTTCTTCCTCTCTTAAAAGGTCAGGGAAACATGAAACCGCAAAAGGCTAATTCTTCTCTGTGTCACATTTCTGTAAGCCCACAGGGCAACATAGCAATGGTATTTTTAATGCTTTTTTTTCCTCCCCTGACTTTTCAATCCACAGTCCTTGGCACAACTGGTGACAGCTCACACAGTAACACACTCTCACATCATCCTTCTAAGTTGCTTCTGATGAATATTGGGGGCACCAGAAAGGGTCCCGACCACTGCAGCACACCTGTGATGAGCAGGGGGAAGATATCACAAGGCTTGGCCTCATCACAGGTTTTCTGGTTCTGGTGCTGCATGCTCAAAATCCACAGTATTCGGCACACACACCCGCTTAGTTATGGTTAAACTGTAAATATTGCAAGAAGGTATTCAGCATGATTTAATATTCCTATTAGTGCCTCCAAAGGCCCAGCCAGAGAAGCTGCACTGTGCTGGGCTGAGTACTGTGTAAATATTGATGGTTTCTGTCTTGCAGTGTTTACAATCCAAGAAGGAGCCCTGCACCAGAGCTCTCTGCTACAGTTTTGTTATTTGTCTTCGGAAATGATTTGCCTGATTTAAAGCATCATAAATGAGCATGTCCTTTCTTTTGCCACTACTACTAGAGCAATTACTTTACAAAGAGCTGTGAAGGCAAAGTTCTAGACCTAAATATTTTATGATCCTGATCAAGAATTAGTCTTCTGATATAAACCCAGAATCCAATACCTTTTCTGCAGCTGTAATATGCTACAATAAAATATGACCTCACAGTTCCCAAACCCTTGCCAGGTAAAAATGATTCAGCACGAGCAGAGAAAAGCATCACTTTGCTCCCCTGAAGAGGGACACACTCTCAGGTAAACTCACTCTAAGGCTTGATAATGGAAGAGGCTGCTCCCAAAGTCACCACACTGACAACACACAGATACGTGGCACTGGTTGTGGGGAAACCCACATGGGGAATCAGGCAAGTATGTACATAGCAGGAACAGACACTACAGGAATGGCTTTTGGCCCAAGGCCAACTGCCTTGCTGAGGGTGCTAGTGTTTGGAAAGGAAATGACAAGTTACTACAGCTGCAAGAGTCGGTGCTGACGCACAGCTTGCTGTACCCTCCCTCCAGCTGAGGATAAAACCTCTGCAAGGGAGTTGGGAGCTGTGCTATGCCTCCGAATACGGCTGGGCGCCGCTGCCATCCATCGTGCAAGCCTAACTCCTTCAAAGGCAAAGTTGCAAAAGACTTGTTATTCCTCAGGGTGTTCTGAAGATTTATGCACTGTCACTTACCTGGGCAGTGGGAGATGTTTACCTGTCTCCTTGTGTCAGCTGAGCTCAAGGAGCAGTAACATGATTACGACACTTGAATGCTCAGAAATGCTTTCTGGCTCCTCATATCTCCTCATCTGATCTCCAGGACACCTCATCACTGTTAAAAAGAAAACATCACCAAAGCACCACCCAGCTCCAAACCATCTGAGGTGCGGGCCCAGAAGCAGCTCTAGCTTTCTCCTTTTCCCCTGCAATTTCATAAATTGTATTTGTTCTTCCCACAAGCCTTACCTCATTTGGGGTCGGGGAAGGCTTAGAGTCAGGGGTTTCACCTGAGGCAGGTTATACCTGCAAACAAAAGAGTGGACGTGGAAGGAGAGCCTCACTCCACCATCACCGCAGTGCTCATCAGAGCCTTTCAACAAGAGCTGGAGGCTGGAGCTCAGCCTCTCCCTGTTCCCCACACGGGGAAGCTCGTACCTTGTAATTGCTGTACCTGGTTATAGCTGTACTTTGTTATAGCTGTACCTGGTTATAGCTGTACCTGGTTATTGCTGCCCGGCCGCCGCACACCCAGCGCCTCGGGGCTGCCACCAGCGCTTCCGTCCGCGCTGTGCAAACAGCGCTGCGCCCTTTCTCCACGCGGACAACAATAGTGCCACCCTCATTTCCCGCTCCCAGGAGCCATGCTGTGGGCACCCAGCGGCAACTACAAACGGTGGCCCAAGGTCTGGTTAATGTTTCAGCGCTTTGAACCCACCACAGGTTGCACTTTGAGCTGTACACAGCGTGTTATTGGCGGTCCTGGTGTTTAAAGGTTTTTTTTCACCAACCGGTTGGGTTCCTGCTCCTTTTTTAAGAGGAGTCTGACACCAGAAATCTCATGTCCGTGGCAAAGCACCTGATCTACACCCGCACTGGTGAAAGAACAATAAGCGTTCTGTCATCAGCACGACCCTGATTTCCACAGGCTTTGGGGGTTTTTGCACGTGAGAAGAGGCTGCAGCATCGCTGACTGCCCTGTTAACAGCCAACAGGGCAAAGTTCTTGTTTCCTTTGTAGTGAAAAAGTTCAGGGCCGGATTTTGATTATCACAAGGAGTAGTAAAGTACATAGAACAGAGATCGCACATTGGGTAAGAATTATCACCGAGGTGAAAAAACCAAACAGAAACAGCAAAACAAACTCCTGCCCAGCTGATGCAGCACTGCCCCACATTCTGGTGTGTGCAGACCCTGTGCAGTATACTCAGCTTATGGAAAAGGCTGGGCTGTGCTCTGGATGCAGCACAGCCTTCCCAGGCACGGCACAACAGTGGGGCATGGGGTGTCAAGGGAGCCGTACCAGGGCAGCTGAGCAATGGTGGGCTCATCCTGCCCTTTTGATATCTTTTTTCAACATGCAAATTAAACTAAACTGGGTGAAGTACCAAAGTCCAGTGTCATGCCACTTAGCTTACATACCAAAAGAAAAAAAAAAGAACAAAAACAAAAAGAAAGAACAGAGAAGGTATCAAAGGATCTCTATTTTTATTTTTTATCAGGATCTGTTATGCTGAGCCATGGTTAGGATGTCAAGCACTCTTGTTTTGAACGTGGTGTTGATGATGGATGTATTCCCACACTACATCCAACCTATGTCTTCATAAGGATTTGACTGTTCTTCTGCAAGTCTGGGAAAGAGGAAAATTCACATTTTACACAAAATTAAAATCCTGCCTAACAGCTCCCCGCCTGCTGGCCCTGTTGTGTTGTTGCTGTTGTCCTGCCTTGGTTGGGCTCTGGTGCAGGCTTAGCTCCCCTCAAGGTTCCCAAAGAAATTGTTTTGTGTCTTACCAGCAGATTGAGCCACCCCATGCAAACATCCCCAGCCTGCAAAAGTCGCGGGGATTTAGAGGCGAAACATGAACACTGCACTCACAGTGGTGGCTTGGAGAAAAACGCAGAGGAAGAACCGAGCTTGCAGACTCTGACTGTAAATGTGCACGCAGGGGGAGATCTGAAAAAAGCTCGCCGCTCCAGACTTGCACAACTGGACGGCGAGCGGAGAGGGGTAGGAGCCGTGGGAACTGGCAGCAGGGTGACACAGGAGAGTACAGGGACTGCCAAAGTATTCAGCTGCAAGCCAGAGACTGACAGTTGTGGCAAGAGCCATCTTCCCCCCCTCCCTGCAAAACATTCCCTCTCCTAGAGATTTGCATAACCCTGTGTACATTTCCTGCAGTCCTTGGGCAACGAATAGAGTTGCGGTTCAACATTTTACAGGATCAAAGGCAGATTGTGATCCTATCGCTGGAACAGTTAAGTTTTTACATGTGGGATTTTTAGATATCATTTCTCAAAGATCAAACTCCAGTGTATTCCACGGAAGTAAATTTAGGCAAACCACAGAGCTGGGGAGCAGGCAAGATCACTTATATTTTTCTTATGTATAATCAAAAGGTTTTATTAGGGTTGTCTGAAAACCCATAGCTCTCGTTCTGTACCCAGCCAGTGCTGACTGGCCGCAGTTTGAGATCCCCAAGGTGGATGTCCTGGGCTGCCTTACAGCAGGGGATTTCCTAGGGCAGGAAGCCCGTCCTGCAGGGAGGGCGGCTCAGCCAGCTCTTCCTTCAATGGCAGACAGGGCTGAGGGTTTTACAAGCGCCTTGCGTGTATTTCCCTGCTCTGTGTCCAGGCCCCTGGCAGCTGGAGAGGAAGCAGCATGTAATGAGCCCCAGGTGGAGGCAGCAGCTTGAGCTCTGCAGTGGCAGCTCCCCACACCCTAAAACAAGGGAGCCACTGGCACCGGGAAGGCATCTGGGGCAGACCACTTCAGCCCAGGCTGGATAGCAAATGCAGATGAGGGCTGGGGTAAGGCAAGGACTAAAGGCAAATCTTCAAGGAAGTAGAGGATCTTAACTCAAACTCCCCCTGAGCTCAACAAGCCTCACAGAGCGCCTGGGTCATGCCACCGATGAGTCACTTCTGCCAGATGGGGAAAGTCTGGCCAACACAGGCATCAGCTGGTCCATGCAGCCCTCCTTGCTCCTCTGACCCTGTGGAAGGAAACCTGAGCTTCTGCATCACTGCATTTCAAAAGGAAAGGAAATTAAATTTTTCACAGCGGAAATACCTGTTGCTTATCAGAGTAAATATGAGAGAAACTGACACAGCCCCCCACACCTCCTTTCATGCCTCCTGCTTATTTAAACTCACACTGCCACATCAGAGGAAGTTCAGAGAGCGGTGCTGGCTGTTGGCACAATACCCAGTTGGGCTTCACATGCTGCCCTCCCCAAGACCAGCAGCACCCCATGATCACATGCAGGTGAAGGAATAAGGTGTTGCAGGACCGAGTGTGAACTCTCCCACGGGGAGACCTGTATGTCTGCATTCCCACCACCTCCTCCTAGGGTCCAAGGAGATGGTGAGGGATGTCACTCTCACTTCAGAGGGTGACTGGGACATTCCTCTCTGCCCCAGGTGTCATGGACACAGTAGCAGGGGTCAAGGTAGGTTTGGTAGGGGAAGGGAGGTGGAGGGACTGACTGTTTTACAACAGACAGTATGTGCTTTGCAGATGTAAATCTGCAACCAAGATATTTACAGGAGGTTTTTTCCACATAGCACCAGCTAAAGAAAAAAGACTTTTGAGGAGGCCTTTGGAGAAAGCTGGCAACACATCACTGGAAATACCTTGGCTGAATGCAAGCCAGCTGAATTTCACATGAAGAATGAGTTACAGAAGCAACTGCCTGTGCAGTGTTTAATACAATAACCTGAACTAACCTTTTTGTTCAGGTTGGCAGAGGAATGTCTGCTTCACACCTCACCAGGAGAGGGTTCATGGCAGCAGAGCCAGGACGCTGAAACCAGCAACATCACTGACTCAAAACTAAAAATAATCCCTCCATTTTTGAAAAATTTTTGAAAATGCTCAATGGATTTTATTATTTTTCTTTGCCTCTACCCCTGTCACAACACAGAAAGCAGAAGTTAGAAAAAAGTTGAGCTATCTACACAGGGAAAATGTGCTTTCTCTCATGAACAGAAGCTGATCTTTTTGCATCAAAGCAAGATCTGCTGTTGTGGTTAGTGTAGTGGAGTAGCAGAGATTAGATGCCTTTCAAAACAGTACAGAACTAGTCAAAATATCTCCAACCTAGTTAAATGGACTATGCATGATATTGTGTAAGTACTCTCAAGTCAAACAGAGAAATGACAGAGGGAGAGTTCAAACAAGGAATGAGACTAGAAGTGCAAAAGAAAGCAAAATAAAACATTGGACACGAGGTCAAGCAATCAGAACATTGCAGGCTGGAAAAGGAAGTGAAATTACAGGCTCTGGCAAAACAGCTGAATACTTACTCAGGAAAATTACAAAACTGTTGAGATCCCTACCATCAGTTATGTGTCTTCCATCCAGAACAATTTCCAAGACAAGCTAGAGGAATTCATAAAAGTAAGCTCAGGGACATCACATTCTTCTCACATCGGTCAAGTGATTTTGTTTACTTTTTATATAAATACCAGGACAAATACATATATGGTATCTTTACTAGAATATATATGAATAGGGTATAGAGATATATACACACACCCAAAATTGCATCCTGGTAAAATCTATCAGCTGATGACAAATTATGATCAAGACTATCTTCTCTATCAACAGCTTCTACAGGAGAGGCTTCTAAAGGCCAAAAGCCCCCACCTAAGCACTAAAATTTATTTGCAGATCAACAAAACACCAATTTTGCTCCTGCAAAAGAGCTAGAACAACAGAGGAAAAGTTGAAATAGAGAAGAACACTTCATTTATGCTGAAACTAAATAGGACACATCAGTTAAAGAAACCAAATGGTTTATCCCTGATGGAAGCCACTCAGGCCCTAACTGTTTGGTTTTGGGGAAGAAGCAGAAGCAAGTATGGAGTGTGTGACACATGATTTCCCACAGAGTTATCAGGCTGTAAGGACTTCAGAGGCAAGATCAAACATTCTCTGTACACTTATAGAACACCATACTACTAAAACTACAGGCCCCACAGCTGGGAATTATTTCTATACTACCACATATATAAAAATGAATATTCCCAAAAAGAAGGTGAGTCCTGCCAACTTGTGAAATGTAACTGATGGAGAAGCTCAGGGCATTATTTCCCCAGCAGTGAGGCAACACTGCAGAGATGGAAAGACTCAGAGAAGCCAGGGAAACACAGATATATCTACTGCAAAATCCACAGCTCTGGGCCTGACCCGCTCTCACTGTAGTCAGGTCAATCCTCTTCATCCTCAGCTAAATGATGTGATGAAAGGCTCATAACAAAAGCCACATGCAGGGTTTATATATGCCCAGACAAGGGTTCTTCACTCTGAGTGGGTCATGTTGTTACACACCTAGAGATAGGGCTTGGTGCCCAGGGCAGGCACTGCCTAGGCTGCAATTAGAGAAAGCAGCCACAGCTCCGGTCTGTGGTCCCAGGGAAGCTATCCAAGAATAAACAGAGCTAGATGGTTGTCAGCTGCACTCATTCAACTCACAATCTGCCACCTGTGCCCCCCTCTCCTCCCCCCAGTTAAGTCACTAATTCAAAGCACTCCTACCTCTGTGCATTTTTACAGGTTTATTACACATTGTATAAGCAGCTGAAAGATCAACACCTTGTTTGTCAGTAGAAACACATGGAAGCTGGCAGAAACCCTGCTATCCAGTGGAACACGGATTAGCTGGGAGGCAGATGAGACTTATTCATGGCTGCATCAGCTTCAGGGACTGTGATTCATGCTGCACAGTGAAGCAGCTCTGCAGAGCCACAAAAGGCTGTGAAGTCGACCTGTTGGTGAAAGCTACCCTGTTCTGCAAATCTGTGTAGCAGGACTCGAGATTCCTGCCGGCTGCGGTCCCACGTCAGCTGCAGAAAAAAAAGGCAAATAAAGTCTGTTTCAAAGGGATAGGTGAGCAAAATGGCTTTGAGTTGTCAGCAGGAGTGCATGCAAAATACAGATGGAGGAGCAGCCTCAGTTTTAACTTTGTAGCATAGCTAGTACCAGTTTACGTGATTTTCTGTGTGTGCAGAACTCCAGGCACTCATTGTCGTGACAGGGACTGGAATAGACACTGAACCGCATACAGCACACATGGGTACAATTATCATGTCTGGAACAGCAACAGCTCTAAGTGACATTTTGCTAGAGTGAGTGGCTAATCTAATCTCTTCTCCTTCAGTCTGAAGGCTGGAACCCATGGGAGAAGAGCCTGCTGAACCAGCGAAACAGGATAGAGATGTAACAACTCTAGCAGTTGGTGAACAGGAGACTTAGAACAAGTAATGTCCTGAAAAGTGAACATGAGCTGTATTTGTAATCCCTACTGGGAAAAAGCCAGGCGGGAAGTTGACAATTGCTAGACGCCAAGTAGAGAAAGAAAAAAAAAAAAAAAAAAAAAAAAAAAAAAAAAAAAAACTACATGAGTTTTAAAGAGAATATAAAGTACTCCAAGGGTTACCAGAAAACCCTGCATGAGTGCTTGAAGAAAAATGGCAAATGAAAACAGACTTTGACAGGCAGGACACAGTTAACTGCAAGTGGCCTAAATACCATAGGTGTAAAAGTGACACTAAACAGGGTCACGGTGCACCTGGACTCCCAGCTGTACTGCACCTTCTGTGGGCTGGGCTTCCCACTGCAGCCTTACCTCATCTCCAAGGGGAAAACTGATTCCCCACCACACACTCTCTCTCCCTGGCTGCTGCTCACTCTCTCCTGCTGCCCCTTTTCCAGTGAAGTTACCACAAGCCCCTCGCAGAATCCTGCTGTTGGCAGAGCCAGCGCGGCCCGGGAGGGTGCAGCCGTGCAAGCTAGCCCAGCTTCCAGCTCTCCTTGCCCCATTCCCTCCCCCACTGCACGAGGCCAGCTGTTGCAGCTCCAACGGTTTTACAGCCATGTAGGCTGGCTGACCTCATGGCACAAGCTGGGAGACATGTGGGATACCACAAACCCCCCCAACAACAGGCAGCGAGACACCACCCACCCCCTCCCTGCACGCAGGCAGCGACGCCAGGCGCAAGATTCCCTCCCTATTGTAATTATTGTTGCTTTGCGCAGAGATTTATCACATGCAGCTGCCACAACTTGTTTACAAGACACAAAAGCCATGAAAACAAGGTTGATGAAGTCTGCGTGTGAGCTGTTTTCCCTGGCATGAATTTGTCATACCTCTTAGCTCGCTGACGCCCTGGCTGGCCACACAGTCTCCAATAACACACGGCAATGCCTTCCCTTCAGCTTCAGAGTAGCCAAAGTGTGTGTTTTCAGTCAGAGGTCGGGTTTTGACAAAACTGCTTTGCATTTGGGTTTATCATTGCTGCAAGAACAGCAAAACCACCCATGTTGCCTCATTGCTTCTTTATTTATTCTTTTTTTTTCTTTTCCATGGTAAAACAAGTTTCACAAATAAAACTTTTTGTTTGCTCTACCAGTGATCTGTGGCCAGCACGTGAAGCCTTTGGCTTGTTACTAGGACTCCTGCTCAGTTCAGGATCTTAGCTCCACCCAATGCCCTACATCTACCTACCTTTGGTAACTTCAGATAAAGTTACTTTAGGTTTATGCTCATAAAGAATAGGTTCAGGTAAACTTCAATAGCCAGCGCCAAAACTATCAGTGGTAGATTACAGGGAAGCAGAAACTCCCTTTTGATACATTTTAGCGGGTACTCAATATGAGTAATTTTCTTCTTCTAAGTTAAATAACACCTCAGGGTAGAGAAAAGCTTTTACATGGCTTGGTGTCAGGTGCTACTCAGCCACAGCCATCTGACTTATGACTACAGCCAAACTTCTAGGTGTAACCTTCACACATGTAATAATTTAAGAAGCAAATAATTGGCCTCAAGCAAAATTAGTCGCCAGTGAAGTTCCCAGGGTAAATCAGTCAGCAAAATGGAAATGCAGTGCTCATCACATGAGGAGGACTTTGGTGATCATTTACACTAATACTACTTTGTGTGGCATAATAGTAAATGAAAGCAGCAGAGAGACCACAGGCTTTTACTTTCAATGAAAACTGTTAACCTGAATGGCAACAGCTTTCTTCCTCATTCTATTTTCATTTTCAGTACTGCAGCTGCTACAGTGGAATTACAGAACTGGTCAGCTCAACCAGCAAAGTTTTTTTTTCTTTCTAAGCTTGCTGACATTTTTTTATTTTAAAGGGCAAAGTAATGAAGAGTAAAGATCTCTGAAAATGCCCTTTAATGATCTGAATTGCCCCACTTTTTCTTTATCCCACAGCACACCAGCAAACTTCTTTGAAAAAAAAAGGAAACAAAAGAGGAAAATGTCGAGCAATTCAAATCAAACAATGCAAACATATTTGTGAGGCTGTTTTTCTTTCATTCATGAAGCATGGGTGTAAGGAGTATTGCAATAAAGTTCCTTTCTGCAAGAACAGGAAAGGACAAGGCATCTTCCAAACCTTTATAAAAGATAACACTCCACTTTGGGTGCGTAGAACCCCTTAAGATAAATCACCGATTCCACAAAACCATGTTAATTAACCAACCTTTCCCTCAACATGAACCTCACAGTTACAAAAAAGTACACTTCTATTTTATAATTAGTCATTAAAAATCCCCATCAAATACTGCATACATAGGTATCCCAGGAAAAGTAGCTCAGAAGTATCAAGTACAGTCTGTCCAGAGAGACACTACACAAGGCTCTTCTGTACCCACCTGCAACTCCTTGAAAACAGAGTATGCAGCCATCTCTATGTTCAAAATTATTTTCCAGCTTTATTTCCAATTTTTTTTAAATAATTCTATAGTCATACAGTATATTAGGATTACTCTGTTACCAAAGCTGATGCAGTCATAAGTAAACCAGTATCTACTGTTTGCCATTTTGATTTTAAACATGAAGGTTCGAGAAAGGCACAAGTTCAGAAGAATTCCAAAGAGTACTTCAGAGAACAGACAGAGTATTTCTGACACTAGAAAATTATAAAGGTCACAGCAAAACAGAATAGCAGTCAGAATATTATAATCTTCTTTCTAATCATAATGATATCCTTAAATTCACCAACACTCCTGCTCCTCAAAGCCCTCCCCCAGCTTCCCAAACAGACAACTGGTTTGTTTTTAAAGATTAGACGGAACCAAATTTTTACCCTAGAGGTCTCTTATTTCACTATTGCTGGAAGGATAAGGGTGGGTGACTGACATTCAAGTAAGTTGAAACGTGAGCTGCAAGTCTTCATGTTTTTCAGTAATAAGTCATTTTGATGGCAAAGTCCTTTTCTGAAAGGTAACTTAGATTCTGTTGGCAAAAATACACCCCAATACAACAGGGATCTCTTCTAAATCTTAGCCAACCACCTGTTAAAGTATCTCACAAAGACCTGGCTCCCAGAACTCAGATTTCAATGCAATACAGCCTATTTTATTTCAGTCTACTAGAATTACTGAGTAAAAACGTTGTCATTGCTAGTCCAAGTAAGGGTAGAAGCCCTTGCCCTCCCCTATCAAAATTTGTCACCAGTCATGTCTAGGAGCTGCATCACAAAGATCTGCAAATAACACTTGTCCCAGCCCCTCTTCTGGCCTCTTCCTTTTATCTTCAGATCTTCCCCATGGGCCATCACATCTCCCAGCCCTAAAATATTTCAATGAGCCAAGAGCTGGAACTCCTAGAGGGGCCCAAGGTTTCCCTCTGAATGCCTACATAGATCCCTTTGGCCCCTTAAAAAAATTTCAACACAGCAGAACACAATCAGGTACTTCTGGCTCGATTCAGCATTCTTTCAAACATCTGGTTGACAACAACTGCTAGCATGGCTCTCTAAACCAAACAAAGTCAGTATGAGCTCAAAAATATTTCTCACTTCTATTTATTTCAAGGGTAATTCATGTTTTCTGCAAAGCTTGTATTCAACAAAATACTCTGTATGCGTCACTTTTAAAGAAAATATTTTATTATATTATGGGAAAAAAGCATGATCATCCAAAGTTTGTATTGTTAAAAAAATTGAAAATTTAGACAGCGTGTCGGTATATTCCGTTCCACATGGGAATGATAAGAAGACTCTATATCATTACTAGATATTGCACAGTCTGAAGGAAACAAAACAAATCACATGATCTTGGGAAACATCTCACATTATGAAAAAAATCTACAAAGAAAACATTAAAAAAAATCCCAACAAAACACACAATCCTTTCTTTCTACAGTAGCTTTAAGTTTATAATTCTTGGAATGACCGTATTCCACTGAAGACCATCTCAGTGACAGGAAGCTTCATTTCAGCAATCCCCTTGTGCAAATAAGATTAATAAAAAAAAATAATAATAATGCAGTGAAGTCTTTTGATATCGTGTGGGTGGCAATAAACCACACAGCTGTTAGATCCCTGCCTGGTAAAACAAAACGGGGAAGGAGAAGGAAGGGGATTTAGGCCATAAGTTTCGCCTGCAACTCCATCTCTGCCGCCCTTTTGAGTGCAACATCCACCAGAAGCTGGAATCCACTAAAATCCTGGTTAAGGTCTGGTGGTGTTGGAGGAGGAGTGTTAAAGAGCCCACTTTGTGCATTTGCACCAGGTCCCAGTTTGGATGCGTCCTCGTGGCAGGAGAGGGGGTTATCTGTGAAGCCGCCGGCCGGGGGCTGCTGCAGGTCCGTGGTCTGGCCTACATCAGCTGGCTGGCAAAAGTGGAAAGGGGCATCTTTCAACGCAGTCACAGTCGTGTGGCAAATCACTGAGGGACGAGGCAGCACCGAGCCCGGGGAGGCCGGCTTGGGAGAGGACACAGTCTTGCCGAGCGGCGCGGCAGCAGGAAGGAAGGCAGTCTCCTCCAGCAGGGGAATGTAGTTCTTTGTGCTGATGGCAGACTCCACCAGGCCGCCCTCGGGAAGCTTGGTCCCTCGCCGCGAGATAGTGAACTGATTTGGGTCTTTGCCATCCTTCCTCAGCATGTCAGGTAACAGCCTGCGGCGCGCATTGATAAACCAGTTGCAGACCTGGGAATATAATGACATCTTAATTTCTACCTTCATTCATTCCCAACTATGTGCCACTAGAGTGGATGGTTAGATTAATGAATCCCTCCAAGCAGTTTCCTTCCCTGCACAACGAAATAGAGACCTACTGACATGTTCTGACATGCATCTCCCTGATCCTGTTACAGAAAGCCCCGGGACATCTGAAGTCCAAACTGGGGGTTTAGCTTTTAACTCTGTGCACACACATTAACCTATTGGCTATTGTTCCCTAGCTTAGGTTAATTAACAACAGGAAAACCTTTTCTCTCTGAAGAGAGCCACTCCTCCCACAAATAGTTACTGATTTTCCTTGTTCAACTGACTGTGTCGACAGACATAACATGAATTACCTCATTTAAGTTTGTCCTTGTTTAAATATCAACCAGTTTCCTGGGCAATACAGGATAGTTTATAGTTTAACGTCTTTTTTCTCTTTACTACATAAAGGAAGTCTTCTTTATAAAGTTGCATTAAGAAAATTTTGCTCTACAGCCAATTATGAGATTTGCACTAATGAATTCATATGGAAAAATAAAACCCAGGACTCAAGAGGAGTGCTCTCCATTTAGCAGCTCCCAAACCAAACTCTGGTTTACCTAAGTTCTCATGCAGCCACCTCCCCACAACATGGGATGCAGCAATGGGCAAAAACTATTCCACAAAAGATGATCACAGAATATGAGAATGATGCATCCAAGGGACCTCACAGATGCCAGTAGCATCAGAGAATCCAAAATAATCACACAAATGCCTCACCATACCTGTACTAACACCCTTGAGTAGCTCTATCCCATATAGGTTGTTCCACTGATTTTAATGACAGTGATCACACACATAATTATTTATGTCCATGTTCTACTGGAACAAGCCTCAAGTTGCCATTTTAGAAGTGAAGAGTTACATGTTAAGCTGCACATCTATCACCATACAACCTCTGTTGACAAATACCTTCTTCTCACAATAAATTACCTTGTACAGACACTTTATGTCTTTTGGAGGACGATTCCACAAAAAATTAGCATGCATGCGCCAATTCATGACTGTCTGTTCTCCCAGAAAAATAATTTTATTCCCAATAAACAAAGATAATTGTAACACATAATCAGTCTCTATCTCTCATTATGAGTGCCGTCAGCAGGAGAGTAGCAATAAAAAAGGAAATCTCGCATGCAGTGTAAACATTTGTGTCCATGACTAGACCACTGGTGAATTAAAACAGAAAACAGCTCCTTTAGAAGGAAGAACTACTTGTTTAAATACCTGTAGTGTGGAAAGGTGTGTTTGTCGGGATAACAGCGCTTTTTCTTGCTCTGAAGGATAAGCATTGTATCGGTGCTCATAGAGCCAGTCCCGAAGAATCTGCACAGATTCCTTGGGCAGGTTGCCACGTCTCCGCCGTTTGCCTGAGCCAGCAGATGAGGAAAGATCCAGTGGGACATCCATAGTGTCATCATCCTCCGTTTCACTGCCTGATATTGCAACTACACCTACAATTGTAAGACAAGAACAATCAGCCTCCTAAATCCATTAACTACTTGGCTCCAGCACTGTATGGCACAGACATTTTATATCACATTAACTGCCTTTGCTGTTACAGCCCCTTGTACGGGAGATTCGTCCCGCAGCGTTAACTTGTCATGCTGTAGCTTTTCTGTCAGCTGAACAAAAAGTGTCGCCAATGATCCGTTCCTAAAGGAATTTTTCTCTGCAAACCTTCATTTTCTTGTTCCCCTGGCAACCTTTTATCTGCTACACGTTATCAGATAACTTCTATCTAATGAGAATATTGTCCAAGTTTGCTTGCTATGGTATGCATCCAGCACTTTTTTTTCAAGGATAACTATCCAGTGGCTGGGCAAAAGGTCAACAAGCAAGAACTTAAAACACCCCAACTCAAGCAATAGGTTATCCAATTATTTCTTAACATTCTGATGCTTCCCTCCTGGGAGGGATAGGTTGTAGATTTTATAAACTAATAATTATATCTATTCAGGAAAATTAATAGAAGAAGAAAAAAAGGATGGGAAAAATTGAGTTTGTCACCACCCCCAAGGAGATTTTCACTTATGAAGGAGAAAAAGTGCAGAAGAAGGGAAGAACCAGGTGCCTAAGAGTTCACCAGTTTATCAGGAAATAAGGTCTCATTTAATTGCATTCTGTATCAAAGAACCATGATCATTTAAATGTACCAGATTTTATCCTATTTTTTCAACTTTGTGGTTTTCATCTCATATTTTTATCCCTGGAAACTTGTGTTCTGTGCTATGCTTACTATAAGAGCTCCAAATTTACAAGTTAACTGCATACCTTCTCCCTCCAACACAAAGGAAGGAACAGATTTCAAAATCTGATTATCCCTTTATATATATGTACACCACACTATTAGTAACATGAAGCCGTGGAATGTAAATCAAACAAACGAGCAAGTATTCAATAGTTAGGAAGGCTACAATTCTACTCCTTTAGTAGGATACACGAGTCACTAGTTCCATAAAACACAAAGAAAACCATGCTTTAAACTCACCAGACATTTTAGGAATCTTACAAACTACATACAAGTCCAAATAAGATACTACCCACGTTCAACTAGTACAAATTAATACTAGTTTCAAGTGAATTCACACTGGCTTTCAGAAGCAGTTTTAGAAACTACAGAAGGAAAACAAGCCCTTAATCTTTTTGTCTTTTGAACCTAAATGGGGGGGGTGAGGGGATGGAAAGGAAGAAACTTTACTCACTTATTAACACCAGAACTAAAAACTTTAGTAGTAAAGCCAACTAAACGTCAAAAGTAAAATTTTCTGTGGGCAACCACCCATAATTCAAAAATTCTATTCAAGGAAATAAAGTAAGCCCTAAACGACAAGAAGTGTACCTGTGAAGATATTAACCTATATTAAACTATGTTAAATCCATAAGTAAAGGCATAGAAGGAAGTAATGCCCTTTAAAAAAACCAACCAACCAGCCACCAAAGCTCCCACCCCCATACAAAGAAAGATAGAATGTATGCAGAAACAGAGAAGGACCTTTCCTCACACTTCTAAACTTCAGCCAAAGCTGACATGGTAAATTATTCTTTCCTTCCCCTATTTATGAATAGCTCCAACATCCTTAAATTTAGTCTAAGTTGTCCGATTTGAAATGCACAGTTTTGATATGCAAGCATTCCCAACAGGATGATCAATCTGCAATCTGTCTGGCATAGTTACTTCAGTAACTTACTTGGTATTGTTTTCATTCTCCCAATTGCTGATTTATGTAACCGACAAACACCAAACTGACATACCAAATTTTTCATCTGATGATTAGCTACATAAATTATCCAGTCATGGAACAGAAACAATAGGACAATATTTAAATAACCAACACCAGATAAACTCCAAATTATGTAAACAACTTCTTAATTCATGTAGAAAGTATGTCAAAAGTTTGCTTTACAATGATTCCAAGCAAACCACTTTGTCATGGCTTCTTGGAAAGTGCTGTCATGCTTGCAACCTGACCTGAGAACATGCCTTGCACCATGGGCTTCGGGAGCCATAAGGAACACTTCTGGGAACAAAGATCTTGCAGAGACAACAGGATGGCTCTTCAAAGCAGCTTAGCCCTTTTAAATTGAATTTAAAAACTAGCCAAAACTAGCCCATGCTATTCAGACAATGTTTTGAAGTGCAGTGTTCTTGTTTGTCAGAAACCAGAACTGTTGCAGCACTTCACTGGGTTGGGTTTTTTGTTTGTTTTTAAATATAATGGGCAGTAAGGCAAGACCTTGGAAAAGAGGGAGAGGCAAACAGCAAGAGCTGAAAACAAGAGGGAAGGACAAACTACTATGAAAAAGTTAGATGTCTAATGGTTTGCCAGCAGTATTTACATGGCGTAACAAAAAATACACCAGATACATACCACTCAATCCGAGGTGACCTTTCCAGGATCTACCACACAACTAAAAGACTCCATGGACACCTCCCTGAATTTCAGAAACCTGACTTAACAGCAAAACCTCTCCCAGAACTGGGAAAAAAAAATAAAATGCAACAAGATACTGTCTGCAAGCCAGCAGAACAAAAACGTTTATCCGTTTTCAGACAAGATCTTTTGCTAAAGTAAAAGTTGTCATCTGACTAACCGTAACCTACCTAGCAAGAAATGAGTCACCAGCAGAGCCAGCCCTTTGACCCGCTGGCTCAGTGTGTCATATTAATTGACACAGTAAGTTAGTGACACAAAGCAGGTTTTGGTTAAGCAGGAAACCCAGTGTAGTACGACTTCTGCTCATTTAAATGAGCTCATTTAAATAGCTGATCAGCGCTCTGAACTCGTGGCAGATCTCTCCTGAGCAGTACAGAGCTAGCAGCAACAGGAAGTCATGGCTAGAAATCTCGCACTAGCCCAGCTGATATTTTTTACTAGAGCAGGAGCCACATTGTTGCTGTCAAGGCTCTGTTTTCATTAAAGCATTCCTGCTGATTACAACCCAGCTTTGTTTTTCCGTCTTGTTAGTAATCAGCCTATTCGCTGCTGGTTTCCTGTTTTAACAGGGCCCAACTGAAAAGGCTCCTGGCCATGCTCCATGACTGGACCATTGGCTTACTGTTATTTACACCCAGAATAAAGGCCTGTGGACACGATGAGTAGCCCCAGCTGACCTACTAATTTATTTTGTATTAAAAGCAGGCTAGGGCCAGGCTATTTTATGTCTCCTCCTAAATACATTTAATCCAAACAAAAAAAGCCTGCTTTTACAGAACTAAAATTAAAGCAGCACAATTAAATTTGCAGAGAGGTCTGAGAAAGAACACAAAATCCCATTCCTTCATTTCCACATTGCCACTTAAAAGAGTAGTCCGTGCTATTAATGACCTAAGGACTACATGATCAGCATTCCTTCTTTATAAATTACTTTATCCTCCTAGCTTCCCAGCTGAAGTCATATACATGATTGAATGCACTGCTGCATTGTATCACAGCCCAAAGACTTTACAGGTCCTCCCCGTAATCAGCTCAGGGAAGATTACACCTAGGATCTGGAGTCTGGGCTCAACACCCAAACGTTAGTTAACAGCTTGAAACAACTTGAGTAAAAGTACAGTGATGACTAAAGCTGATTTCAAAACAAACTACTGCCACTTAAAAAGGTATGCTGAAATACTCTGAGGGGGAGGACAAAGTATTTAGAGAGACTGAGACAAATAAAATGGAAGTTAAGCAAACGAAAAATTTAGGCTGAGGGGAAAAAAAGGCACCAAAAAAAAAAAACAAAACAAAACAAAAAAACAACTATCCCATTGTGTCGAGGAAGAGCTTCAGAGCTTCACAGAGGAAGTGGCAGAAGCCAATTGTTATTCAAAAGAGGACAAAGTATACCACAAGGAACAATCTCTGCCCTCCAGAGAGGAGATGGACAAAAATCACCTTAAAGAAAACCTCCCACCCCTTAGGGTTCTCTGAATTTCTTAAGTGAGATTTTTTTTTTTTATGAGCACTGATAAACAGAACCAGTTCCTATCTAAGCACCTGATCCTGTCGTAACCAACTTCAGTAAGATTCTTCACATGTATAAACTTGAGCACATGCCTGTGCCTTTTCGAGACTGTGTTCTAAAGCAGCTAATTAACAAGCCAAGTAGGTTCCGTGTGATTGCTATCACGTTATTTGTAAATGAAACTATCCATAGAAGAGTCCTGAGGTTTAAATCCAATCTGCTAGCTTAAAAAAACCCACAAAAACAAACAAAAACCCTCAACAAAACAAACCAACAAAAACACAGCATCACACACAAAAAAATTTAAAACTCAACACACACACACAAAAATCTAACTAAAATGTAACACGAATTTAAAAATTAACAACAAAAATAAATTAGTTTAAAATTGTTCATAAGTAGCAAAAACCGACAAGGATAAAAAAAAAAACCACACCACCTTTTTCCTCTGAATGAGTTTCATAATTGAGGAACTAGCCTATATGTTGTCCTCTGTACTTTACAGCTTGCACTCTACTACTTCTAAAGCAATTAGACTTGGCTGTACTACACTTTTTTTTCCTCTAAACAGGATTTTTCTAGGAGTGCGAGCAAGAAATCTGTAACAAAGTCACTCTTTGAAACTTCTTGAATGAGCTTCAAACGCCAGGAGGTCACAAATAAGTACAAGCCCAACCTTTATTAAAACAAAGGCACCCTAGCCCTAACATCTTTTTAAAAGTTTCCGCCTTTGTCTCCTCACCTTTTAATTTGTGCCACGCAAACCCCAGGCCCATGGCCCCTCTCAAAAGTTCTCCCTCCCGCCTGTCACCTTTCATTGTTTCCATTGTTTCAGCCCAGGATTTGCAATCCTCAAAGCAGAGCTTACACACACACACACACACACTCTTACACACAAAGCCCTACACATGCATACCTAGAAACTACGTCAGCGTTTTCCACACGCATTTATTTCGGGGGTGGCAAGAACAACAGTTGAAAGTGCAGAGAGTTTGGTATTTCACCAACCAGCAGCTGCCCTCGGGGAGAGAAGTCTGAACAATGGAAGCAACAGCAGACAGGAAACCAGCTCACCACTGCTGTGCAAATAGGCAGCATAGGAATGTCCTAAAAATAACTGGGCTAAATTAATTCAGCGAAACTATAAAAGTGGGGGGCGGGGGGGAGAAACAAACCACAAACTGCTTCCAACACGGTGAAGAATCCCGACCTACCTAAGACGCCCGAAACATTTAAAAGCCAGCGCTGCCGCTGTCTCCGGGCACAGGGGGCTGAGCTCGGCGGCAGCTCCGGCTGTGACTGGGATCAAGCCCCACTCCGCTCCCGCGGGACGCTGCGCTCCTCAAAACCACCCTGCCTGCTCTTTAAACTTCGCCTCCGTGGCTCAGTTCCCTTTGTGTGCGCTCCTCTTAGCAGAGTGGCATGTCCAAAAAAAACTTTTCACGAGGACTACAAACCATATTAGTACACACCATGTCTGCAGCAGCCCAATGATTTCACGAACTACATATGCATTAATTACTCCAAGGGTATTAACAATGAGGGAGGCTGCTTTACTACAGAGCCGCAGGAATGCATAGTAGGGGGAAAACAGCACAACTCTGGAGTACTGAACATGCGCACTGCTCCCCTCTAACCCTCCACTTCGGAGCGTTTAATGGTCTTTGAATGCAAAACACCCTTCAGCCACACCGCCGACTGGCAAATCGCAATTGAACAGACACTGCTTTGCTATGAACTTCTTCCCAGCCAGCGCAGGAGCGTTAGATCCGAAAGCACGTTCCGCGTCTTTGTGGCCAAGCGCTAATTTAAAGGCACTTAAAGCACCGCGAGCGCGATGAGTAACGATCCTCTAACTGTAAAGTTTGTCTGTTTGGAAGTGGACACAAAGAAAACTCAAACAGCCTTCTGGCTATGGCGAGGGGGGGCGAGGGGGGAAGTCTTCCTCCTTTTAACCCTGTGTCAAAACTTTTGTACTTTTGTGTTTCCTCTCCCTGTTTTAAGCTATAAAAAGGATAGAAAAGGCTACAACTTTCAGCAAAACAAGGCGGTCGAGGGCGTGGAGGGGTTTGAAGCCCTCCCGCCGATGCCCCCCCCCACGCCTCAAGCCCCACGCTGCCGTCCCCGCGAACAAAGAGTTGCCGGACGGCCCCACTTTCCTCGCCCCAAGTTGGAAAAACCACCCGCACCCTCGTCCCCCTCGCGGGGACGGTGGGGCTCGGTGCAGAAAAGCCTTGGAAAGTGTTTTACGGGAGGGCAGGGGGAAGAGGCTCGACCGAGGGGGCGAGAACAAAAGTTGGCGGAGGACACGAGGCGAACGGCTGGACATGTTTTTGACAGGGAGCCAGCGGCGCAGAGAGGCAGCCGCCTCCAAACAACAGCCCCGCATGTTTTGTCTGGGAGCGGAGCATCCACTGCAATCTTCCACGGGATACAAGCCAGGGGGTGTGGGGGGGCATGGGGGACAAAAGGCCGAGAAGGCAAAGGGACTCCGGCTGGCTTAGCGACAGCCCCCCCTTCCCCTTTCCACCCCGGGTAGGGGCACGGGGCACCCCGCTTTGTCCCGGCACCCCATCACAACTACCTTTTTTACTTTTCATCTTGATCGCGAGGACCGAGCCGATCGCCGGACACCCCACGCACCGACCCAAGTTTCTCTCCCTCCGCCGGACGCTGCTTTCCCCCTTTAAGCTCGGCGAGGAGGAGGAGGTCGATGAAGAAAGGAGAAACACCGCCGCGGAGCCAGGCGCCCGGTCCGCGGCCGCGCTGCTGTCAGCGGGAGCCGCAGGGCTCTGCCTCCCCCGGGGGCTTTCTGATGCGGCCGGGGTGGGCTTCCCTCCCCCCTTCCCTTTGTTCCCTTCTGCTGGCGATTGGCCCCGGCCTGTTAAAGTGAGGAAAGGCACGGGAGAGAAAGGTACACAGCGCCCGCCCTCCCCCACCTCCCCGCAGTGAGTACGGGAGAGTAACCGTGCGCTGCACTGGCACTCGCGGCGGCTGCTGCCTCCTCCTCCTCCTCCTCTCTCCTCCCTCCCTCCCGTCTGACAGAGCCTCAACACCCGGGAGGGGAGGGACCGGCCGGAACGGGGGGGTGTCCGCCTGTACCCGCTCGCTCATGCACACACAACAGCAGCGGCGGGGGGAGCTCTCCGTGCCTCCCGCTCCCTCGCCTTTCTTCCAGGCAGACGTTTGATCATTAAACTGGAAGGAGGAGAAGGAAGAGGCGGGGGTGGGGGGGGAGATTTTGACAGCTGCCCTTGACTAGCCTCCTCCTGTTGCTGCCGGACGAACCACCCACTCCTTCGCGTGAATAGAGGAGAAGAAAGGAGAGTGCGTACGGCAGGGGAAGGAAAGAAGCCCTCCAAAGGCCGGCGCCCCCCTCCCGACTGCAGATCTGCCCGGTCGGCGGGGGCTGCTCCCCTCCATCCCCTATAGTACTGAAGGAGCCCCGCCTGGCCGGCGCTGGCCACACACACCCCCACCCACCCCCGCGGGGAAGGCGAGCCCCGTTTCTGCGGTTATTTTTACAGCAGTTCGTAAAAGGTTGTTTTTCTCCCCCTCGACTCCCCCCCTTTCCATGCCCGGTAGATTTTGCTGCGGCACATGATCGCAGCTGTAAAAGAGAGAAGTCTCACAGCTTGACTCATCCCTGTCGGGCGAGCACGGTCTGCAGCAGCAACAGTTTCTTTTCCTCCGGGATGGGAAACGTGACACCCGCCAGCAGCTCGCTCCAGCTTCCCTGGCGAGGTGGAGAGCTCTCCCCGGGCACAGGCGGCCTTGGCGGAGGGTCCCGGCGCTCCCCCGCCGCCCTCTGACAAAACCAGGTGCAAAATAAATAAATAAATAAATAAAAGCGCTGAACGCCCAGCCGCGATCTGAAGTGTCACGGGCGAAGGTTTCGGCGCGGAGAGAGGAAAAGAAGCCGCCTGGCCGCGGAGCAGGCGTGCGGGTGCGGCGTGCACTGACTGCACGGGAGCGTGTTTGTGTCACTCCCGCACCGGCACGTGCGGGGCTGTGCCCGGCCCGGCCCGGCCCGGCAGGCGGGGGGTGAGCAGCAGGCGCCCGAAGCGGCTGATGAAATAATGGATTCCTATGGCAGAGCAGGGATAATTCACCCCCACACCACCCCACACCCCCCCCCCCCCCGGTGGCGCGGGCGTCCGCACAAATCCGCATTCACTGCACAAGGGAAGCAACAGCGTTTTAGCAGCAAGCCCTCCCCAAGTACCTTGTAACTATTTTTATGTGGCGTAATTACAGCGGGAGATAAAACAGCTGTTACATGCCGAACGGGGGATGGATGTGTGAGGGGGGAGGGCAGCTAGTGAGTCACGTCAGTGAACCGAGGACTAAGCTCCGGCTGCTCTGCGGGGCCGGAGGTTCGCTCCGGGATGGGTGACCCTTGCGCCGGCGGCTGCTGGGCGGCGTGTCCGGCTGTAGGTCAGCGGGGCGGGCCGGGCACGGCACACTGACTGACTGACTGACTGACTGACTGACTGACGGGCGGACTGACGGCGCCCCGCCAGGCGGGAGCTTGTGCAGCGCGGTCCGAGGTCCCGCGGGCGGCAGCGCATTCCGGGCCATTGCCCGCCGGCCGAGCGCCCTCCGCCCGCCCTTCCCGCCGCCTTCCCGCCGTGTGTGCAGGGGGACACAGCTCGGTGTGCTCGCTGCTAGCCCGGCAGGACCAGGCTCGCTTGGTGTTCTCACCCGAGCCGTGCCCCCGAGGGACTGGCGGCTCGGGGGCGGGGGTTGTGCGAGCACGCCGCCGTATGGCTTTATTTTGGCTTTTGCTGTTTTGTTTTTGTTGTTGAAAAGCCCTGCTTCCCAGCTGTGAGGGCTGGCTCTTCGAACTGCTTGTTCCGGGCAATGGTCATGCCAAAAAAGCAATTATGGGAAGTTAACAAAAGACACGTCAAGGATTCGAAGAGATTTCCCTTTCTCCGTGCCGCCAGAGCCGCCTGCTCGTTGTCCTTGGGACCGCAGGCAAATCAGTGAAATCTGTGAAATTAGCTCTTTCCTTACTTTTTTTTTTCTTACAGGTTTGTTTAAATTGGTTTGGTGTTTTTTGTTTTTCTTCTTTGACAAGGCCATTTTTATAAAGAGAAAAAAAGTTTTATTTTCCCACTGAACTCAAGTTACCTTTTTTTTTTTTCTTTTTAAAAGCACTAGAAACAGCCTTTATAGAAAAAGATAAATTTCGACTTTTTAGCTGTTAGGAGAAGGCCATGGACTAGTACGTGTTCATTCCTAGCTCTCCTGTGGTATCAAAAGCACGGAGAGACATTGTTTTGGAACAGGTTCCTCCATGGATACGTATGGTGGGGGGGGGTATACCCATAGTTGGGACCAATGGGAAAGACTGAAAGTGGTTTTGTGGAGTTCGCGCTGCAGTTGTTGCCCGGGGCAATATCTCAGGTTTGTCCACAAATTTTGACTGCCTTTACCACTTGAAGACTCCTGATACATATTCCAGGTAGAAGTGGGTTAAAGTTTGCAAAAGGTAATGCAGTGAAAAAAAAAACCCCAGAGCTTTCTCTGCTGGTTAAAACTTCAACACACCTGAAACAAGGCTGTATCTAAAAGGAGGGCAGGTGATTTGCTGAGCTCAAATCTAATGGATAGATCAACTTGGTTTTGTAGCAAATAAGCTGGTGGCCTGCAAGATGAAAATGTGTATCAGTACTGCAGAAGGTATGGAAGGCCTTATGTAACTTTCTGCAGTTTTGTTTTTTCCTTTATATGTTTGTGAGGCTGTGTTTTTAGAGTTACTTAATCTACTCGGGCTGCATCAGCAGTGTTAGTCGTATCTCACAAGCAGCTCAAACTGCTTCATGCTGAGCAAATTTGGCATCTGTGCAGCTCCTTGGGTAGTGGTGTACACGTGCACCAGCTGTGCCAACAGGTTGGAACAGCTTGGTTCAGTCAGAACAAGTTCAGCTCTGTCTGGACCCATCTGCACAGACATGCTGTGTTTGTAAAACTGGATTCCAAAAAGGGAGAGAAATTAAACTGGAGGGGCTAGATTTTTAATTACTCTGTGGTTGTCCAATCTGATAGGTTTATCAGTTTTCAGTGGTGGTGTGCACATGCTTCTGTCCTTCCACATGGCCACGTGCACAGCTCTGGGACTATGTTTGCCTGGCTGCTGAAGTCTCCAAGGCAATGTTTTGGGCATAGAAATTATTAAAGGAAGTACTCTGGGAAATCAGGGTCTAGTCAAATCGGGCTTGTGGACATTTGTTATCTTGGTCTTTTAATTCCAGTTTCCCATGTATTAACTAGATAACATTTTACCACCACCACCGCCCCACCTAAGGTTGTTGTGAAAATAAATCCATTGATGCTCAGATGCCATTGAAATACTTGTGATAAAATTCATTAAATTGTAGTCCAAAGAGAATTAAGTGGCACAAAGTTAAGCAGGTCATGCCTATGGCACTAAGAGTAAAGCAATGCAACGGGTGAATAAATCTGTCCATAGAAAAACAGGAATCACTACTGTAGGTTACAGGTAACCTTCACCATTTCTAGTCCATGATGTTGAGTAGTTTCAGTGTATCAGAGGAAAGAAGAGGCTACAGAAGGCAGATGTGAGGTAATATTTCCCCAAAAATGTCCCATCCAAATATTTAATAGTTCAATACAAGCAGCGGAGGAATAGTTTAATAGAACTTCAGAGTTTATTACTGACCTAGCTGTATAGTCTTTACACTGGTATAAAAGTTTAATATCTTCATAGAAGTAAATTTCTGTGGTGGCATTTGAGTGGCAGAGAAGCATGTTGAGTTGTGAATTACATAAAAATGCGTTGCTTTTCTTTTTTTTTTTCTTACCTATTTCATTTCATATCCTCTTGTGCTTTGAGAAAAAAAAAAAACACAAAAATTCCTGGTTTGGTACCATTCATTATTTTATATCTTTCAGCATGACTGTCTTTTGACAGAAAATTTTTCACTCTTTTCCTGTGAGAATTACTCCCAACATTTGCTCATTGCCTTGTTTTTTTCCCATGTGTATTTAATCCTACAGTGCTTGGTTTTTCAGAAAAGGTGATTTATGCTGCTTGCAGTATTTCAAACAAGGTCATGCCTCCAATTAGAATATATATGTATTTGATATTACTTACTCTCTGATCTATTTTTGTATGGACTCCAGCACGTTAGTCTTTATCTTTGGCTGCTGCTACATACTGAGCATGGGGCTCACCAGCTTTGGAGGTTGTATAGCTTGTGTGAAGTTTCTCTTCTGCATGATTTCATATTCATATCAGTGCTGAATCTTTTGTCATTGCATTGTTCCCTAATGTAACAGAAGTCACACTGAACTTATTCACAAATCTCCCTCCCCCAAATATGTTTTTGATATCTGCAGACTCCATCACTATTCTTTACCTTCCCCTGTTTCTCCTTCTCTCACTGATCAGAGTTATTATATTAAAAAACCCTGGACTAAGTAGAGGATGCAGAAATACCTCATTGTCAATCTTTTGTTGTAATAAAAAAAAAATTAAAATTTAATCTTACAGTTTTGATTTGCTTACTCCAACCAGATATTCATCCACTATACTTGTTTGTCTTTTTTCCCTAGCAGTATCTTAGTTTCTCCAGTAGCATGGAGCCCTGTCAAAAACCTTTCTGAAATCTGAATAAATTATGTCAACCAGCTGTGCTTTCACAATTAGGGCTCACTTTGCTACCTTTGTGCAAGGGCAGAAAGGGTAAATCTAAGTCATGAAGACAATTCTAGGATTTCAGAACTTCTGCATAGTAGACTGCAACCTGAACATGCTTTTCACTTGTTTTCTACGTGCATTCTTGTGGTTATCAAAGATCAAGCAAGTGCAAAAACCTCAGAAATTCTTTATGTAAAATCATACTCATTCCTGACTGCTACAGCATCATGTTTGCAAGCTTTTGGTTCTCAACAAGGACTCTGGGATGGACTCAAGGTAAGGGCTAGTACTGAGGATTCTTGATGAGGACAAGCTGCTGGAGTCATCTGTGCTTGCTAATGGGGTTTCAGACATTTACTGGCAAAGAGGAGCAATGGCTGCTCCGGGAGGATGTAGTGCTGTCTCTCTCTGGGCCCTCCTTCAACAATTCCCTGTGCCAGCCCTTTGCTCCCTCATCTGCACATGCTTCTCCCTTATGTCCGTGATTAGTGCATAAGCATATGGAAATAGAATAATATTATTACTGTAGAGACAACTTAAGTACATTCAGTGATGTTAGTCATGATTATAAGACAGTGCAGAAACTTCTTAAGTGGTGCAATGACTTCCACTCTGGGACTAAAATCTGTGTAGCTTCCTCTGTGGAGCAGTTTGTGAAACTTGCATTAATGTAAATGCGGTTTTGTTTCCATAGTTTGAAGATAAATCCCTGTGTAAAATTAAAGATAAAAAAAATTAGTGAATTGTAGGTTTAATCTTGCTTGGAGTTAAGAGTCTTCCATTTCAAGTTTTAAGTTAAAAGTACAGGAACAGACCTCATGTACTCCTTTCAGTGGTGCAGAAATTATAATTTCTGTCTGCCACAGGCACATCTCATATCTGCTTTGTCCTCTTGTCTAAGAAGACTGGCTCTCTTTTCTTTTGTAGTACAGGAGTGAGTATAACAAGATCAGCATGACAAATGGCAAGATCCTTGACAGTCTCAGTTTAGCTCAAGAACTTGGGTCATGACAGGAAACAGATCCCTCTTTCCTG